GAATTGCTGCCTGGCTGTCTGTATATATCTTTATAAATGCTCCTTCTGACAAGACTAGAAGCAAGATCAAGATTGCGCCTAGCTCTGCCCTTGTTGATGAGGGCCAGCCTATCATAGCATAATTAAAAGCTGCTACCTTTTTTAATAGTCTTTCTTCTTGTGTTTGTAGAATTCACCCTACTCCTATTTTGGTTTCGCTTGCTGTTTTTTGCAGTTCTAGTAGTGATCTATCAGTATATGCTTCAAATATTTTGTACTTTATAATGCCCTCTGAAACTGCTATTAGCTCTGCTACTACTTCTACTCTATCTATACAGCTTTGTGTTATTTTTCAATAACAGAACCTATTCTTATTTCTGTTACTTGTTTTTTTGCTTTTCTTTTCACTTCTATTACTGCTTGAGGGTCTCTTATTCTCCTAAGTTCTCCCATGGCACTGTTATTTTATATCTTGTTTGGTCATTATCATTACTTTTTTTGATCCAACTACTTTCTAGAGCTCTTCTTATTTCTTTGAACTGCTTGTTGTTTCAGCTTATTCTGGGCTCTACACATCCTTTGCATAGATATAGAAATAATTCTGGTCTAGATGTATTATTTCTGTTCCAATGTTTTAACTCATATCTTTCATTTTCTTTTTTCTTTACTATTCTTCCAACTTTGGCATTTTTATTCTCTTCTTTGTAGATGATCCACTCCTGTCTTCTTTTATCACTGCTTAATTTACATAACCTAGCTTTAATTGATTTGTAATTTTGTAAAATTCTGTTTTTACTCTTCTATCAGTTTTTTTCTCTAGCACCATTTTTTCTAATTTCTAGAACCATCTTGTTTTTCTTTTTGCTATTACAACCTCTAAGTTTCTTGGTCTGGTCATATGTAAGCAGTTTGTTTTCTTCTTTATTGAATAATTGTTCAAGTGTAAAGATATTCATTATTTTTTTCTGTCTGAAGCTTGATCTTTACTTCTTTTCCAATATGCCTGCTATCTCTGTTTTACTTTCTATAACTTCTAAATTTCTTTTCATTTTTGGTGATCGAATGCTGATTTCTAATCTTTTTGCTTCTCTAATTATTTTGTAGCATAGATTGTTTTTGATGTATATTTGCTCTATCCTCTGCAAACTAAGATTTAGGATGTATTTGCTGCTTTTGAGATTCATTTGTACTTGTATAATTCTTAGCTACATAGCTTGGCCTATGTCTTGCTTGTTGTTTAGCCTTGCTATTAGTTCTGTAATATGGTGTGCTAGTTAGTTCTGCTAAATTGTCTTTATTTCTACTATGTTTCAGTGTGCCATAGCTGCATTTGGCATTGTATACATCATCTTTGCCTTGTTCTTAATTTGCATAAAGATTAGGCTCTGTAGTTTATCGCAAAGTCTAGAGAAATAAATGCCAACTACTGAAAGCCTTCTATTACCTACTATATTATTAGCTTCAAATGCCCTTTCAATAGCTTTTAACCATGCTATAGGTCTTGATTATCATCTGAAAAAATTGGTATGTTCACAAAATGATGTTCTTTTGTATTGAGTTGATTTTCTTGTTGTCATGTCAGTAAGTTCATCATATGCCACTAAAGTTGATTCAAGATAGATTGATATGAGTTGCTCTATTGAAGGATTAAGGCTATCTAGCAAAATTGGTTCTTCTAACAGATTATTGTTATCTTGTGTAGAGGCTGTATACTCTTGTTGCTTATTATTATTATTTGTCTGATTTATTGAGTATCTCCATGTATCCATATTGACAAACATCATATCTGCTTGTTACTTCATTAAAAACTTGCTTGTTCATTCATTTGTCAATGATTTTTACAACTTCAATTCAACACAATACAGATCCGAATATTGTTCAATAATTATTTACACAAAACTTTTTTTTTTTTTTTTAAAAAAAAAAAAAAATCTTTTTAATACAAGCTGACCTAGCTTTTGTTTCCCTTATTTATAGTATTACAACACACAATGACTCTCATTTTCTGCTTTTTGTATGTTCAATCCTCAAGTCTACTAATTTAACACTGTTTTCCTTTTTTTTTCATCTACACAATTGGCACCAAATATGTTACAACCTGAGAGAGACTTTATATTTACATAGCCAATTCAGCTTGGGTTGTAAGCATAAAAAAGAGAGAGCTAAGTATTTATTATATTTTTATGCAGCAGAATAGAAGGGAATAAAGAGGCAGATAAGAGGCAGATAAGCTAGCAAAAGAAGGTGCAAGGTCAAACAAGAT